TATCAATTTTTGCCAAGTTGAAAAGCTACGATGTTCTTGTGGTGACCGTAGTTAAGACAATTGTACCTACTCCACTCCTTTACTGCTACCGAATGAAAAATTATAGTCATCGTCAAGCCCGAATTCCGAGGTTGAACCGTTACTCATCGACGGCACTGAACTACCAAATGAAGAGCCGGCCTGCATCCCAAAGTGCGTAGAGGGTCCGGCCTGCATCATCATATTTCCAGCGCCGACGCTTGCGCCCATCCCTGCGCCCATGCCCATCATACCTGACATCAAGCCAAAGAGGCGGTTATCACGCTCTTCCTCGCGACGCATCCGCTCCCGTCTATCCTCCTGCTCAATGCGCAGGCGCTCAGTATCAAACTCAAGTTTGCGCTTCTTGTTTTTCTCACGTTCCAGCTGTAACTCGGTGCGCTTTGCCTCGAGTGCAAGGCGGGCATCCTGCCGATGGGCTGTGTCGGCCATATCTTGACGGTGCGCTTCATCGAGGGCGGTGAGATCGAAGGTGCGCTTGTCACCTGGTTTGACAGCAGCCTTGGCGGGTTTGCCACGACTCGAACTCTTCTCCTTCTCCGCTTTCTTCTCGGGCTTGACTACAGGCTTCTCCTATACATGGACTGTGAGAAAGAAATACAATTAATCAGTTGCGCACCTCATCCGAGCTAAGTTCATCGATTTCCTGATCGCCTACAGATGACGCTGACCGTCCACGACCGGAGAGGTGTTCGTTCCAGCCAGGGGGATCTTCAATCCCACTGGTATTCTCCGCATCCACATCCGAGCCCTTCTTCCGAAAGAGCGCCTCGGCCTTCGCGCCGTGATTCACACCCCCAGTGGCGTTGCTCACACCGATGGGGTTATAATTCGGCAGCTCACACCAGAAGCCATGAAGGTCATCCCAGTGGGGAAACGACTGTTGAATCTTCTCTGCTCTTGCCGTTAGTGGGATCTTTATTGACGCGAAAATCTCACCGATGAGATTGCTCTGTTGGTCCGCAGGCTTGAGACCTCCACCCGTTTGGTATAGGGTCTTGACATGTACAGTATACCCCTTCTTCAAGCTGCAGGCAATTAATATGTCATGATAAATGGTGTTGCGTAGCTAACGCACCGTGCAAACTGCTGCTGAAGCGACTTCGCGTAACGGCTAGAGTCCTGGGCATAGTCCTCCCGAACCTCCTCGGAAACAACGGCCTCGTCCTTGAAGACTACATCCGCCAAAGTGCTGTACATATTGATCTTGCTTTCCTTCGCTTGCTTTTTCTGGCGGTCTTCCTTATTCGCATCCTCCGTAGAGTCACTGAAGAGTTTAAGGCGGAAAGAGGAGTCGGTGGTGAGGTGCTCGATAGCCCTGCCGAGCCACGCTGGATTTTCGGCCCATGGGATGACGTTGCTGCGGTCTTTGGTGCTTTCCTTCCCACCGCTGTCGTTGTCTGCGACTTCGACGATGTCCTCGGAGTTCGTTCTCTTTTTAGATCTGCTGGCCGGGCGACTGACAGGTCGTAGCGTCTTCTCCTTCTGGACAGGGTTCTTAGCCTTACGGCCCATAGTGCGAGGAGGTTTGGTGTGAGGAGGTTAGGAGAAGGTCGGAGGATACGGAACAAATCCCGAATTGTATTAGTAAGCTAACACTACGTGCACGCAACAAAAAAGACTTGAAAAAAGGCTTGAAAAAAAGGAGGCCTGTGACATAAAAGGGGTGGACGCCTTTTATGCACGGGTTCAAAAAAAGTGTGTTTTTTTTTGCGATCCTTTTTTCATGATGATCAAAAAAAGCTTCGAAAAAAGATCTCAAAAAAGACTCAAAAAACTCGTCGTGAAACACCCTATTTACACGAGAAGTGTGAATCCTGGTTGGCATTTAGGATAGCGTTCAACGAGCAAGATTGGCGTGCATTGGGCAGGTTCCGTTTCGAATTTTGGGAACATCTGGGTGAGGGCCGCTACCAGTTGTTACTTCCAGATCCTCGCCTGGAAGATTTACACTCGTTGTGTGCATCCTTTCTGCTCTTTTGTGTCCGGGTTCTTCATTAACCACTCCCAATAGCGCGAAGGGCCGGTTCTTATCGGTCGTTCCTGTATGACTTCCTCCTGGTGCAAAACACCGAGTGTTCTCTTCGTCGTCATACCGACGGTCCTAGCCGTTCTCATGGTCAACCGGGGTCTTCACGCCAACGCCTGCCGCCGGCTAGTGGTTCTTCGATGTGCATGCCAAGGAATGTTGGACGAGACCGCACTCGTTCCCCTCCTTCTCAACCCCGTGTCAATGAGCCGGTGATAGGTCCAGAGGACTTCGATTTGGAGGATAAGTTGGCCCTCCCGCCTTCACAACAAGCGTCTTCAAGTCGAGCTCCCCCTCCTCGCACCTCTCGTCCACCAGCACCCGCAGCTTCGCCGGATGGTAGCATGGAGGTCGACCCCCTTCCTTTCGCGACTGTGTTCCGCACACCCGAGTTCACGCCCGAGGCAGCGTCTCGAGAAGCGCGAGCCTTTCTTCATTTCTTGCGTCCCAAATGGCGGAGCAACGCGCCCAATACTTGGCGCATCTGTCTTCGGTCCTGGAACTCGCGAAGCAGGATGAAGATGTGGAAATGTCGTCGGCGGATCGGAAAGGAAAGGGAAAGGTGAAGGAATGAGGGAAGACATATCCCGGTAAGGAGAGGTTGGATTCTCGCGCCACGGACAGAACATTTGTATGTCTGTCATATCTGTATAAGTCGTTTGTACGAATCTTCCCCAATCGTATTTTGTTTTTTCTTTCTTCGAGTTTTCCGGGTTCTTCAGAACTAAGAGTTTTTTTATGATTGGAGGGTCTAGGAAATTGAACCGTGCGAACTGTTGAATTGCCGATGATAAGATTGATGATTTACAAGATAGAGAAATAGAAGTGATGGGATTTTCCGGGTATCAGTGCGGATCTACCACGGGTATTCCTTTTCGATCCTTCTCGCCCTGTTTCAATCTTTATCCACGGGTTGTCCATTGTCGCGAATAATTTCCCCTGGTATACCCAGGCCCTCTTGGTTCCTCAAGTTTTGAAGTCTCGCATGGAAGTTCGGCGAGATAAATGTCGCCCTGGACCCGGCGTCCACAACGAAGAGGTCATCCATGAACGTGGTAGCCATGACGTCCATAAGTGGGGGCATATCCGCGTATTCATCGTCGTTTCAGGCAGCAGTTGCCCGCTCACGTTCCCTCCGGAGGTTAGGCCTCCTTGCGGGACGTCTCCCGCGTGGTCCATTGAGGGAGATGGGTTGTGCTCGCAGTCTGGTTTTATGCGCAAGCCAGCAACTGAATTCGTGTATGTATCCTCGGAGGGGTTCCAATATAGTAGGTCCTCCGTGATTTATTCCAAGCTGTCTTCCGTTTCGTCGTTCGGGGAGAAACGGTAACTGGGAGTACCAGGCCGTGAACAACCCGGTGATAGTGATGAGAAATAGAACTGAGATGATCTTCAATATCATTCGTCCTATTCCCTCCTGTCCTCCGGATTCTTGCGAATGGATATTCACATGTAACATCGTTGGTGTTTGCGTAGTTTCTTCGGCGTAGTCGAAGTCGTCGGGGTGGGTAGAGGAGATTCTACCTTCTGTCAAGACGAGCCCTAAGTCGGCTAGACGTTGGGTGACAGGGAATAACCCGGCCGGGACGATGGTCGAATAACCCGGTTAGAAAGTAGCGCGATACCCCACTAGGAGATAGCATCGAATGACCTCGTCGTCGGGAGGAGGTAGCCGGCTTATGTTGATAGTAGGGGGGATCCTAAATGATCCAAAGACGGTATGATAACCGCCTAAACACCAGACTCGAGTAGATCTCGAGGAGATGAGAATATAAAGTGAAGATGGAGACAGGGTAGCTGTGAGAATTATCTGTGTTGTTGTCCAGCCAAGGCAGACTCGATATTAGACGAGGTAGAATCTACAGTACAAGGAGATTCTACCGAGTTTATATATTGTATCTAGGAGTCGATCAATCGAACTTGTCGACACACAGGGTGTGTTTGAATTCCAGGGGTTTCGATCAGGACACAGGGATGTATCCCTATGTGTTCTGTGAATCTAGGGGTTCTTATCCCTATATGTTCCAATGATTGGAAACACGGGTTTATTGAATAACCCGATCGGCGTCGTTAAAGTGAACCGCCTTTCGTGTGGTGTAACCACAAGAGCAATGGAATAGTCTGTTTAGGATGTGGGTGGGGTTTTATGGAATAACCCGGTCGGCGTATGGAATAAACCCGCCGTGAAAAGTTGAAAAAGGGTTGTTAGAATGCCAAATCATGACACAGGAGGTATGACTGTTGCTACATAGTAACTTTAATACATTTTTTATTATGCATCTTGTGGTTTCTCTAATTAAGGGGAAGGAAAACTGGAGGAAGACTGAGAAACGCACCCAGATTCTTACAAGTTTGGTCAAATTTATAGATAGACGGTCGGATATACAATAATCACATTTTTTGATTTATTTATTGTGTTTCTGCCATTTCTGCCTTGCACACATTCAAGACTCGTAACATGAAGGTAAAATGCCCAGTTGGCTGTATCAATGGTATTCTCGCATCCTCCAAGGAGGATCAATTCTCAATTGATGGTACAAATGTGCTGCATTAACAGACACGGCGGCCAAAAAAATGTGCTGGCCATGCACTCAAGGGCGGCACATTCAGGGAATGTGCCAGCTGTGGTTCCGAATGTGCCGCCTGTAAGCTGAATGTGCCGGGAGCTCGAATGTATGTAGGTGCCGGCTTTGGTCTATCCCGCCCTCGTGCTGATACACACTGACTGCTCAACAATCCGGCTGAACCCTTGTATTCTTTCATTCGACCACTGATTGCATTAAATACTTAATTATCGCATTGACATCCATCCTGTATCCCTGTATCCACGCACCAATACACATGTATGGATTGCGAACGGAGTGAACGAAGCTCCAAAGAAAATGAACAAAGTCAGAAAGAAAAGAAAAAATATCCAGCCATATCCAGTCTATCACCCGACCTCGAATCGAACGAGGGACATTGAGTCTCCTCATGCCAAGTTCAAGATATTTGTGAAAGGCACACACCTTGTACCATCGGGTGGTTGCCTCCTTAGTCTTAGCTTGAGATATACCAGCATCCAAAAGTCATGCTGCATGCACTGTTGAAAACACATCAAATATTCCCAAATAAATATTAAATTCAGGTGTATCTCAGTGGGTTCTGGTCTTTACCTACATGATATACACCAAAACGGTATGGTCCCCCTTTGCAGCGGAGTTCGAACAACCAACATCAGAAAAAGAAAACAAGATTATTGTCTATCACCCAACCCCAAATCGAACGAGGGACTTCCTCATTATATTGAAATAGATGACCATCTTAAGTAAAGTAGGTGCACACCATGTGCCTCAGGTACTTCCCAAGCTCTCCAGTCAGTATTATTACATTGGCCAGCCTTTAGCCATTTGATATGTATAAGTTGCTCCATTAAAATAGAACAGTTTGCCTCCAACTCAGATGATTCCTGACATCAAATAAAAAAATCTGTATGTCTCGTGAATACAGAAAGTCTGAGATAAAAGGAAATCGAACCAACATGGGAGAGAACGGGAAAAAAAGTCTGCAAAAACGGGAGCTGGATTACGCATCACCCAACTTGCCCCGGATAAAACGAGGGACCTCTAATGATCTATGCAAGCAAAGCAGGTGCACACCATGTGCCTCAGGTGCTTGCCACCCTTCAACTCCAGGTTCGAAAATAACAACCAAGTCAGCCATCTCGGGGATCCAGATCAACTTCTGGTTCAGTTGAATATAAATACCACTGTATCTTGGTGAATTCTTAACAGCAGACGGAGAATATATTTTTGACCCTTCTTCTTGCAATTGGAGCATTCAGCATGTTTCTTTGACTTTGAACCTCTGGCCCGTTGGCAAACAAGAGTGAGAATCATTTAATGGTGCTGTCAGATCAAATTCCGGATTAGGATTCTCCTTCCCATTTCAACCACGATGTCAGGTTGACCACAGTAGTGTTGAAATAACGGTGTCCACATACATTACTCGGGATTTAGCAGAAGACCTTTGCAAATGTGCAGGGGATTCATTCAACAATTACTATGTACTTATACAGTATGCCATCAGGAACAAATATATCTAAGTGGGGAGAATATAACTAGGTAGAGTGAAATGCAGGGTACAGTGTGGCAATGGAAGAGGGCAGTGCAAGGGGGAATAAGTAATGTACCTGTTGCCTTGATACACCAGTTGGTGGCAGTGGTGACTGCGAGCGACAGACTCAAATTCCAACAAGTGAAACAATAACATGAGTTCTCAGCTTCATTTCAGCAAGCAAGGTATGAGCTTCCCCCCATGTTGAAGTGTCTTTCTATGAGAGACTGCAATTTTATCCCTCTTTGGTCTTTCAATGTTGATGTTGAAGTGAACCTTCGAGCTGCAATTTCAAGTTTCTTGAACACTGAATCTACAGTCAATTATATTCACCACGTTATCTAATTATCTGGGGCTCAATGTGAGCTGGTTGATGCACAAGCATTGACGGAGTGAGCACTGTTATTACTCCTCTGAATCTGAGGTAATCTTTGGGCTGAAATCAGGGTGGAATAGAAAATACTGGCCTGAACTCAGCATCCAGGGAAAGAGGTGCAAGGGGTACTCAGAGGGTGTTAGTATACTACTTAGTCACACCGACGATTGCCAAATTTAGCGTGACCGGAGGTTTAACTCTAAATGTCAACTTTCGAGTTCAACAAAAATTCGTCCGAAAGTCAATCTCATACTAGTAATTTAAGTACATCTGAAATTGTAACCTAAACTATAAGAATAAAATCGAGTTTTGGACCAGCTGGAATATAGCTGAAATCCCAAGAGTCGGATTGCAAAACAAATGCGCTGAAATTGAAAACCGAAACTTACTGTTTCGGTACAAAAAAAAGTGCGACCGAAACTTAACATCTCAGGTGCGCTGAAATGGGCACTGAAATCCCGAGTTTCACATCTCATTTCAGCGCAACCGAAATAATAGATTTCGGTCTGTATTTCAGCTGGAGCTGAAATGCAAACTGAAACTATTTATTTCAGTCGGACTGAAATTCGGTCGGCAGACGAGCGGCGGATCGTCCGCAGACGATCTGCCGCTCATCTGCAGACAGGCTGCCGCTCGTCTGCAGACGGTCACCTTAATGACCTCCTTCGTAGGTGCAAGCGCAGGAGACCTACAGGTAGCTCAAATTTTGCCGCGTTTCTAATCTTCGCGTCCTTGAAAGAAATCTCATATATTATCAAGCGTATATACATACATAGATTTATCTATAATAAATGACTTACTGCTACTTACCGGGGCTGTCCTGTGGAATTGGTGTCTGCAAGATCACCGCCCCCCGTATACCGTGTACTACAGTTAGAAAAACGTGCAGCATATTTTTTCAAGACTTACCAAAAAGTCCATCCCTCGCATTCATTAATATCGCCACCATTCCAAAGCGTACCCCCCTGCCTGTAGATTTGTTAGTCAAGAACCGGCGTGAATTCATTTACTTGAACGCAGCATTTGTTATGAGCGGCAGCCCATCTGCAGATGAGCGGCGGATCGTCTGCGGACAATCGGCGGACAATCCGCCGCTCGTCCGCCGACCGAATTTCAGCCCGACTGAAATAAATAGTTTCGGTTTGCATTTCAGCTCCAGCTGAAATACAGACCGAAATCTATTATTTCGGTTGCGCTGAAATGAGATGTGAAACTCGGGATTTCAGTGCCCATTTCAGCGCACCTGAGATGTTAAGTTTCGGTCGCACTTTTTTTTGTACCGAAACGATAAGTTTCGGTTTTCAATTTCGGCGCATTTGTTTTGCAATCTGACTCTTGGGATTTCAGCTATATTCCAGCTGGTCCAAAACTCGATTTTATTCTTGTAGTTTAGGCTACAATTTCAGATGTACCTAAATTACTAGTATGAGATTGACTTTCGGACGAATTTTTGTTGAACTCGAAAGTTGACATTTAGAGTTAAACCTCCGGTCACGCTAAATTTGGCAATCGTCGGTGTGAGTGTTTTTGGAATGCAAGACTTCAGAATGAATAGGGAAATAAATGGAAACACTATTACCAAAATATAGCCCTATTTACCTGCGACAGTGGGCTCTGCTGCGGAAGGGGGCTGTAAGGAGAGCATTTTTAGGAACTGTCTTGAGCCAGAAAGTCCTGGACTTGGGACTTGAGTGGCACAACACTAGTAATTTCGGCTCGATACTAGTGATCGATACTGATACTGATACTGAGCGGAGTTTCAAATCTTTGTCATCAGGAAATGATGCGCACGAGTTCGAGCCTCAGCAGTGACAGAACACTATTTCTCCCGTTTTTGGTACCCTGCTCCCTTAAAAAGACACATAAAACGGAAATTTTGCACTTAGAAACCCCATATTCTTTTTGGAGTTTATTGCCAGTTCTCGGAGTATTAAAATGAACCAGTTCTGAGTTGAACAGCCCGTTAAAGGAGTTTTGTTCAAATGAGATATTTTGTCCTTCATTTCGCCTCTAATTCTGTCAAGAATGGCATGACTGAAGCCCAGAGAAAGGCTAGCCACATATTGAACACTGAAGATTCACAAATCTCATGGTTTTAGCCAGGTAGATTGTAGATGTCGTAGAACTAACGTGGAAAAAGCAAATAACTGTGAATTAAAGACAGAAGAGCTCATGATCATTAGATGAATCCCTACTGATGAGGAGTAGCCGTATGCACTTTAGTTCAAGCATTTTGCTAGATCTTTCCTCCAGCGTCGTGGGTCCCCACCCTTTTGTATTTGCCTAATGCACTACCTTGTCGTCGTCGTCAGGTCACTCCTCCTCCTCTCCGCACTTTAGTTCAAGCATTTTGCACAAAAAATGGCTTCAAACTGGCCGAGTTTTGGAATACTTCCCTATTTGGGTGGAATTAAGAGTCCGCTCAGTATCTGAAACTCCGCTCAGTATCGAAGGTATCTTATATGCTGCGCGCAGCGCGGAGAAAAATCTGGAAATATTTGGGGGAGATCTTCAGCCATTCAAAGGGTAGTCAGCCTTTTTTTCGGAGTTTTTGGATCCATGTATAGTATCTTTGGCGCTTTATTTCAGTATCGAGATCAGAGGTGGTGTTGTTTGGCAAAGAGCTCTGATGCTTCCGAAATACCCTCAAATAGATACCCGAAATCCCCGAAAGATTGCGTAATATTTTAGTTTCTTTTTCTTTTATTTCAATAATTTCCCTCACTAGCACCAGTATCGAGCCGTAATTTCGAGTCGCTGCAACAATTCTTTTGGTTTTGGATGAGAATTTTAACCCACCATGATATGTGATTGACAGATTGATTTAAGGAGCAACATATACAGAGAGGGGGAGGTTCTGGACTGTGCATTGAGGCTTAAAAGGCTGTACTTGTACTGCTGTGTAAATGGCCTACTAACTAACATACATGTTACTCTTAACTAAAGAAAACACAGAGAAATGGTTCCCTGCAAAGTGACCGAGATTTTAGTTGCTGACTCTCAGACGAAGACTGGCTGCTTCCTTGTCCACCTGCATTGCATTGTTGTGGCCAATAGAATATAGATCCATACTAAGGTTGTGCAGGAAATGGGCTAGATCCTTGGTGACTAAAGGGTCTGTCTCTGGCAGCTTAGATAAATCCTGACTGCTTCCTCATCAAGCCCCACTGCTTCCTTGTCAAGCTGTACTGCATCTTTGTTGTAGCCAATACCATGCAGATCTGGGCCAAGGCTGTCCAGAGAATTGGCTAGATCCTTGGTGACTGAAGGGCCTGTCTCTGCCAATTTACGATAAAGCCTGACTGCTTCCTCCTCGGCCTGCACTGCATCTTTGTTGTGGCCAATACCACACAGATCTGAACCAAGGCTGTGCAGGGAATTGGCTAGATTCTTGGTGACTGAAGGGTCTGTCTCTGCTAGTTTACGATAAAGTCTGACTGCTTCCTTGTCGACCTCCACTGCATCTTTGTTGCAGCCAATACCATATAGATCTGAACCAAGGCTGTACAGGGAATAGGCCAGATCCTTGGTGACTGAAGGGTATGTCTCTGCC